TTTCACCATGTTCGCCAGGATGGTCTCGATCTCCTGACCTCGTGATCCACCCGTCTCGGCCTCCCAAAGTGCTGGAATTACAGGCTTGAGCCACCGCGCCCAGCCACACTGAAACTTTTAAAACATAATTAGATTTTCGTTTTTAAAAGATGACTGGCTTTTGCTGTATGGAGAATAGGAGAGGGCAAGAGTGGAAGGTGTTACCAGTTAAAAATACCGCCCCTGCCCCCCCATTAATGCGGTTGCAGTGGTTATGGAAAGAAGGGAATGAGATATATTTTGAAGAAAGTGGAATTGCATGAGAGATCAGATAAAAGAGATGATGGGGAGAGGTGTTTCTGGGTTTGATCAGATGAATGCATTGAAGGTGCTATTTACCAAGATGACAGTGTCTGGAGAAGTCCTAGTAATTGTTTGAAAAAGAAGTCTGACATGGCCTATTGAATATGGTATTAAAGTTTTTGGAACAACTCTTTGTCTTAGTTAACATCAAGAGGCCTGATTTTAGGAGAATTTACCATCAACTGGATGGACAGTAGTATGTGATGTTGGTAGAGATGATAAAGGGATTTTTATGTACCCTAGGCAGTCTTAACAGGGCTCAAATATAGTGAGGACACTCAGGCATTTCTTGCTTTGAAAGATGGTAACACATTTGGAATTCCTGGTTGCTTAATTGGCTGAATACACTTGAAATTAAATGGTAGAAAGGAAGCCCCAGAAAACCAACTGTTTCATTGAGAAGAGCTGAATCCTAAATCCTTTTTTGAAAGAATAGAGTTAAAACTAATTCAAATAAATCTTTTCAAAGAAATAGGTAGAAAATATGTATCTTGAAATGATTTATTTTTACAGTTTCAAAAGAAGTTACTGTTTATTTTTTTTCTTTTTACTACCCCCAGGCTGTAAGGAACTTACTGTTTCTTTCTGACTCTAAAAATGATACATTGCTTCACTTGACTAGCCTTAAAACAAATACATTTATTTTGCTAAAAATGCTGAAAATATAATTAAATCACCCATAATCTCATTACTGAGGGATACGTGTCTTAGAATAAATTCTTTCACACAGTTTTTTCTATAGACAAACGCGAGTATGCATACTTTATTTTTTGTTTTTATTTTTTGAGATGGAGTCTCACTCTGTCGCCCAGGCTGGAGTGCAGTGCCGCGATCTCAGCTTACTGCAAGCTGCGCCTCCCAGGTTCACGCCTTTCTCCTGCCTCAGCCTCCCAAGTACCTGGGACTACAGGCGCCCGCTACTGCTTTTTAGTAGAGACGGGGTTTTCACTGTGTTAGCCAGGATGGTCTCGATCTCCTGACCTCGTGATCCATGCACCTCAGCCTCCCGAAGTGCTGGGATTACAGGCGTGAGCCACCGCGCCCGGCCACAGATATGCATACTTAAGGTAGTTTTACAGTCTGCTTTATTCCCTAGTATGTCATGAATTTGTGCATCAATACCCATGGGATGAGAAGTCTGGAATTTTGAGTCAGAGTCTAAATCTCTGTTGTCTTCATCTGTTAAATGGTCTGTACCCCACAGTAATGGCATTAGTCATTGATGAGGGCAGAGCCCTCCTGAACTAAATGCCTCTAAAAGGTGCCACCTCTTAACAGGATTACAGTGGCAACAAAGTTTGCCATTCTTCTCAACTCAAACTTGAGTTTTGGAGGAGATGAACAGTGAAATTTTTACTGGAAGTGGGCCCTGTTCCAGACCCCAACAGAGGGTTCTTGGATCCCGCACAAGAATTTGAGAGAGTCGCCGGGTGCGTGGTGCTCACACATGTGAGCTCAAACATCCCAGCACTTCGGGAGGCAGAGGCAAGCGGATCACAAGGTCAGGAGATAGAAATCCTGGCTAACATTGTGAAATTCCGTCTCTACTAAAAATACAAAAAATTAGCTGGGCGTGGTGGCCTGTGCCTGTAGTCCCAACTCCTTGGGAGACTGAGACAGAAGAATCGCTTGAACCCAGGAGGCGGAGGTTGCAGTGAGCCGAGATCGCATCACTGTGCTCCCAGCCTGGGCGACAAAGCGAGACTCCATCTCAAAAACAAACAAACAAACAAACAAAAACGAGAGAGTCTATAAAGTGAAAGCAAGTTTATTAAGATATAAGAAGGTAAAGTAAAAAATGGGGTACTCCATAGGCAGAGGAGCTGCTTGGGCTTCTCCGCTGAGGATACCTAGGGTTAGTTATTTCTTGGTTTTATGCTAAACAATGTGTGATTATTCATAAGTTTTCAGGGAAAGGGGGACCTTCGAGATTCCTCCCCCTTTTGGACCACACAGAGTAACTTCTTGACGTTGCCATGGCATTTATAAACTGTCATGATCTGGTGGGAGTGTCTTTTAGCGTGCTAATGCATTATAATTAGCACATAATGAGCATTGAGGATTAGCAGAGGCCACTCTATTCATCTTGGTTTTGGTGGGATTTGGCTGGCTTCCTTACTACAGCTTGTTTTATCAGCAAAGTCTTTATGACCTGTATCTTGTGCCCACATCCTATCTCATCCTGTGACTTAGAATGCCTAACCTCCTGGGAATGCAGCCCAGTAGGTCTCAGCCTCATTTACTGTCATTTTGCCCCTGCTCCAGATGGAGTCGCTGTGGTTCAAACATCTCTGACAGAACTGTAACAAGAAGTATAATTGTTACTCATTATTATAGCTATTTGAGGATTAAATGGGATGATGTAAGTAAAGCATGTAATACTAAACCTGGTGTGTAATAAGAAGCCATTTAGTTTGTTCGTTTATTCAACAAATATTTATTAAGTAAATTTTTTTTTTTTTTTCTTGAGACAGGGTCTTGCCGTGTCACTCAGGCTGGAGTGCAGTGGCGTGATAACTCACTGCAGCCTCAAACCTCCTGGGCTCAAGTGTTTTTTTGTTTTTATTTTTTTTGTTTGTTTGTTTTTATTTTTTGAGGTGGAGTTTTGCTCTTGTCACCTAGACTGGAGTGCAGTGGCACGATCTTGGCTCACTGCAACCTCCGCCTCCCAAGTTCGAGTGATTCTCCTGCCTCTGCCTCCCAAGTATCTGGGATTACAGGTGCCCATCACCATTCCTGGCCAATTTTTTGTATTTTTAGTGGAGATGAGATTTCACCACATTGGCCAGGCTGGTCTTGAACTCCTGACCTCAGGTATCTGCCTGCATTGGTCTCCCAAAGTACTGGGATTACAGGTGTGAGCCTCTGTTCTTGGCCTACTTACTATTTTTTTTAATGTTGGATGTATTTCATTATGTGGTAGTTTCTTTTTTTTTGAGACAGGTCTCACCCTGTTGCCCTGGCTAGAGTGCAGTGGTGTGATCACAGCTGACTGCAACCTCTGCTTCCTGGGATCAAGCAATTCTCCTACCTCAGCCTCCCAAGTAGCAGAGACTACAGGTGCACACCATCACACCCGTGTAATTGTTGTATTTTTTGGTAGAGATGGGGTTTCACTGTGTTGGTCAGGCTGGTCTTGAACTCCTGACCTCAAGTGATCCGCCTGCCTCGGCCTCCCAAAGTGCTGGGATTACAGGCATGAGCAACTGCACCTGACCAGTGGTGTCATTTATTTTGCTGCTCCTCTAATGGTGGATGTTTCCAGCTTTCTACTATTTTTGAAATGTTTTTGATGAGAGTTATTCTCTATGCATGTGCAAGTACTTGTCAGATTCCTTAGAATAAATTCCTAGAAGGTGGATTGCTACAAACAAGAAATGTATGTGTTTTTGATACTTTTGATTTACATATTCAGAATAATATCCTGAAAGAATATACCAATTTTCTTCTCACCAGCAGTAAATCCGAGTACTTACAGTTTTTAGTATACTGGGTTGACGTATGATGTATATTTAAATACTTAACAAATCCTGACAAGAAAAAGGAGATTGTTCTGTTTATTTAAAAAAAAAAAAAACTACTTAATTTTTAACTTTTATCTTTTTCTAGGTTACAGTTCCTCTGAGTCATCTCATCAATGCCTTCCATACACCAAAAAACACTTCTGTTTCTCTCAGTGGAGTGTCAGTTTCTCAAAAACAGCATCGAGATGTAGTTCCTGAGCATGAGGCTCCCAGCAGTGAGGTAAGTCTTTATCCTGGTTGTGTGAGAAAGCCTTTTTGATATATAGTTGACCTTGAACAAATGAGGGATTAAGGATATTGACCCTCCCCCATAGTCAAAAATTTGAGTATAATTTTTGACTCCTGAGAAACTTAACTACTAATACCCTACTATTGACCGGGAAGTCTTGCCAATAAAATAAAGAGTCCATTAACGTGTATTTTGTATATTTTATGTATTGTGTACTGTACTCTTACAATAAAGTGAGATAGAGAAAATAAAATGTTATTAAGAAAATCATAAGGAAGAGAAAATATACTTACTATTCATTAAGTAGAAGTAGACCATCATAAAGATCTTCATTATCTTCAAGTTGAGTGGGCTGAGGAGGAAGAGGAGGGGTTGGTCTTGCTGTCTCTGGTGGCAGAGTAATTTGAGTAATTTATCTAGTGGTCTGTTAGACATTTTCCTTGGATAGGCTCCAGGGACCTCAAATTTAATATGCCCAAAACTGAGAAAGTCCATGTATCTGTGGATGTGCACAGCTCTAATCTGTTGTTCAAGGATCAACTGTACTATTAATCATGTTGGATGAAGTATCTTTCTCTAGGCACTTGTGGCAGGTGATTTCTGCCTTCAGCTTAATCATCTTTGCAACTGAAGATATTTCTGGCTTTTATTATACATATTGCAAATATATTTAGACTTTTTTTTTCTTAATTTTCATTTGGCATTATACTTCGTATTAGCCCCTCCTACATTGTGCAATACCAGTCGGCTACTCTGTTGTGTTCCCTCAGCAGTAGCGGTGAACCCATAGGTAACTGACCATAATTACCTCCCAAGTTTCAAGGAAGATAAAATAGTATGAAGTTACCATCTACTGCCTTATAGGAGCCTTCAGTGTAACTGAACAATTAAAATATAGGTACTGGAAAGTGAAATATATAAGCTAGGACACTGTACTTTCAGTATTTGTATAATTATAAAATCAGTGTTTCTTAGGATATTGAGAATTATGAACCTAAGAACTGATGTATTTACAAGGCTTATTAGTAAGATAGTTGCTTACAAGCTCAGGATACATTTTTCATGGAAAAAATGTTATAATCTGGCATTAAGTTCCCAAAGCCTCTTCAACACATAAATAGGTTATGTTCTTAATCTGATATCAGGAGCTAATGGCAAAGGACAGTAGTGGAGGAGTTGAAAAGAGCTTGCTTTTGAGAGGGTTGTAGAGTCAGCCTTGGGATAAAATTTTAATTTAATGAAAAGTTTGTCATCTTGTACTTCCTTTTGTACTATTTGCCTAGTTCTTACTGCCTTTTCCTATACACAGTCCATTATTGTCTTTCTACTCTACTACGGACACTCTTCTCCAAAATTATAGTCCAAGAGAGCCTTACTACTGAAGATAGTATCAACATTGGTACATGCAACAAAATTATGTTCATTTTACAAGTTTTAGAAAATATTAGTGTAGGTAGAAGAAACGGAATTCATCCATGGACTCTTTTCCAGATGTAAGGCTGTTAACATTTTGTATTTTCGTATGTCTTTTTCTCTTGCGCTTTCCATATTTTATAATAATTAGATACTATTGCACATGTTGATTTAGATTCTGCTTTGCTTATTTAGTAGTCTTATGAATTTATGCTGTATGTTTTCTGCATGTGTATTCACACTACATTCTATTGAAATTTGGCTACTACTTTTACCATTTTTCAGACTTCTTTCGCTGAAGTTAGTGCTGATTTCCTTAGTGTTAAATATAGGCCTTTTACCAAAAAAAACCCCTGAATCTCTCAACTTGTCATTTCTTACTTTGCAAATACTCCCTTAAATTGAGTGATACTACTTTGATGGGTTTTTTTTTTTGTTTGTTTGTTTGTTTTTTGAGACAGAGTCTCCCTCTGTCGCCCAGGCTGGAATGCAGTGGTGTGATCTTGGCTCATTGCAACCTCCACCTCCTGGGATCAAACGATTCTCATGCCTCAGCCTTCCGAGTAGCTGGAATTACAGGCATACCCCACCACACCTGGCTAATTTTTTGTATTTTTAGTAGAGATGGAGTTCACCGTGTTGGCCAGGCTGGTCTCAGACTCCTGACCTCAAATGATCTGCCAGCCTCAGCCTTTCAAAGTGCTGGGATTACAGGCGTGAGCCACCATGCCTGTCCTAATTTTCAGTCTTTACTTTCTCCCAGGTTACATTCCCACTTACATATTTTCTTTCTTTTTTTTTTTTTTTCTTTAGTTTTAAGATGGAGTTTCGCTCTCGTTGCCCATGCTGGAGTGCAATGGTGCGATCTTGGCTCACTGCAACCTCCGCCTCCCTGGTTCAAGCAATTCTTCTGCCTCAGTTTCCTGAGTAGCTGAGATTACAGGCGTGAGCCACCACGTGTGGCTAATTTTTTGTATTTTTAGTAGAGACGGGGTTTCACCATGTTGGCCAGGCTGGTCTTAAACTTCAGACATCAGGTGATCCGCCTGCCTCTGCCTCCCAGAGTGCTGGGATTATAGGCGTAAGCCACTGTGCCCGGCTGCTACTTGCGTATTTTCAGTTAACATCTCTCTATATGTTACTCCCAAATATATCTTCAATGGTAAAGTCACTTTCAAGTTTTGAGTAATTTATCTAGTGGTCTGTTAGACATTTTCCTTGGATAGGTTCTAGGGACCTCAAATTTAATATGCCCAAAACTGAGTTATTGGTCTTACAGTGGCTTTAGTCCTACTTTTTCAGTCTGAGTCCAACTAGAAAAGAGAAACCACATAGTCATTTGAACAGTAAAAGTTTAGTATAAAAATGTAATGTCTGCTGGGCACAGTGGCTCATGCCTGTAGTCCCAGCACTTTGGAAGGCTGAGGAGGGTGGATCACCTGAGGTGAGGAGTTCGAGACTAGCCTGACCAATATGGGAAAATTCCATCTCTACTAAAAATACAAAAATTAGCTGGGTGTGGTGGCGTGTGCCTGTAGTCCCAGCTACTCGGGAGGCTGACACAGGAGAATCGCTTGAGCCCAGGAGGCAGAGGTTGCTGTGAGCCGAGATTGCACCACTGCACTCCAGCCTGGGTGACAGCAAGACTCTGTCTCAAAAATAAATAAATAAATATAAAAATGTAATCTCGTTTTTTTGTTTAATCTTTAAAAAAAACCCTGTTTTTACAGGGAAGTGGAATAGGTAGGGATTTAAGAAGTAAAGAAAACACTTAAAAAATATAAAAAATAAAAAAGGACCAGCAGATTTAGGGAGCAGCTCATACTTCTAGGGCTGAGATAGAGTCAGGAAGAGTTCTCCACCCCCAGGGCTGAGATCCTGATGTTGGCGAAGGCATGGCCTTGGATTACTGAATGGTAGAGAAGTTGCTGTGATGTCATGCCAGGAGAACTTGCTGGATACTGGGGAAAGCTGTTTCTGGGGATGTGTCCTACTAGAGAAGCTGCTATATGAGTGGTGCCAGGGGAAGTTGCTAGGTATTGCTGGCCATTGTGCACTTCAGGAGCCAGGGTTTGGTGAAACTGCACAATTGACAGGAGCCAGATGCTATAGAAACCATGGGTGTTACAGACAGGAATCTGCTGAATGAGCGTACCAGAACCAGGAATCAAAACCTCTCTTCCTACAGTGTGCATTCAGTGACTTCCTGACGAAGCTTAACATTGTTTCAATTGGCAAAGGAAAAATATTCAAAGGGTACAGATCCGTGTTCATGGAGCCAGCAAAAAGGATGAAAGAGCGCTTGGACACAACCAACTGATAACTGGCACGTCCATCCAGAACCCTTCTCCCTCTCAATCCCTATATACTGTGGGTTTCTCCAAATGCCTATTGTCTGTGATTTACTGTGTCCATCCTTCTTAGTCACGGCTTAGTTCAGGTTCTTGCCATCTTTCACTTGTTCCATCAGCCTTCTCTCTCATCCACTCTAGCTTGTTTGTTTGTTTGTTTTATCATTTTAAAATTTTTTGTAAAGACAGGGTCTTGCTTTCTTGACCAGGCTGATCTCGAACTCCTGGCCTGAAACAGTCCTCCCACCTCAGCCTCTCAAAGTGTTGGGATTACAGGCTTGAGCCATCATGCTAGGCCAGTCTATCTTCCTTAGTTCTCTGTTTTCTTCCGTAAGACAGAACTAATCATATTACTTAGAGAATTAAATTCAAATATGGCTCTTCACAGTTTGGCCATAGCATATCTCTTTACTTTTCTCTTTCCTTGAATTTTTTGAGATGTTCCAGAGCCTTGGATAGCTTTTTGTTTGCCCCTCTCCCTAAGTCTTCTTCATCCATCATTTTTAATAGCTTAAAATACTTAAAATACTCTTAAGTATTTTATTTCATCATGCCTTTAACTGTCTTTTACTATGGCCGTCATGCTGTATGCTAGGCTGTGTAGATGAGTAAGACATGATCTTTGCCTTTGATGCTTACTATTATGAAATAAGTTGTATTTTATAGTTATGTTAGTATTGAGAAAATGAATTCTAGGAATATGAGTTATATCTAGTAAAAAAAAAAGTACTATACTCCCAGACATCAATCTAGAGCTATATAATCCATGTCCATGCCTCTTTTAAGAAAATTTTTAGTTTTAGAGATAGGGTCTCCCCTCTGTATCCCAGGCTGAAGTGCAGTGATGCTATCATAGCTCACTGCAACCTCCAGCTCCTGGGCTCAAACATTTCTCCTGAATAGCTGGTACTGCAGGTGAATACCACCACACCCAGCTAATTTTTTAATTTTTCGTCGAGATGATGTCTTACCATGTCGCCTAGGCTGGCCTCAAATGCTCCTCCCACCTTAGCCGTTTTGGGTTTGAGTAACATATAATTGTTACTTGTCTTTAAGTGCCTCCTTTTCAGCTCATGTGGACAAGAAAATAATCCCTGTCCTGTTGTTTAAAAGTGGGTATATATACACACATATTTGTGATTTTTAGACTTTTTTGCCTGATTTTCACAGTTTTGACTTTAATTTTCTTCCTTATTAGAAGATAATGGGTAACTTTAGAACCTCTGAGTTCAAGGAAGGATCTCAGCAGTGAGGCCAGAGGAGTGAGATGTCCTGTGGTAACCAAGCATACCATTTCCTTGTCAAGTGGGCTTTTGTTTATGGCCGCTTAGCGGCTTAAAACTCCATGGACTGGTGAGGATTATCATTTGATAGAATTTCTCCAATTCAAAAACCTTACTATTATCCTCCAATCAGTTTTACACTGTTGGGGAAAATCCCCCTGACCTTATATAACATACTTTGTAACCCTGCAGGTAGTTACTCTTATACTCTTGTCATTATAAATGCTTGATCAATGGTTGATAGACTAGCTCTTGATCAGAGTACTCTTGTATGGAGAGAAGGAAAAAATATCATACATTTCACTTGATTCTGTGAACCATAATGCTTAGGACAGTAGTGGTTTGGGTTTGATTTAAAAACAAATGTTTTTCTCATTCATGCTGAAATGTTATCTCTTTATTTAAGGATACCATTGGGAATATAATTTTTTAACCTATGTCAAACCTCATATGACTGATCTCAGTGAAACGAACTGTAAAAATATTTGCATCAATTTATTTTTAAATATTTAAAAAAGAAGTACATGTATTAGACTTTTAAAATCTAATTGTTTTAACTGATAATATGTACTTCTTAGGTTAAATATCTTGGTAATATTAATGCATACCTGGTTGACCCAATCTTTTACAGCCTTCACTTAACTTAAGAGACCTTGGATTATCTGAATTAAAAATTGGACAGATTGATCAGCTGGTAGAAAATCTACTTCCTGGATTTTGTAAAGGCAAAAACATTTCTTCCCATTGGCATACGTCCCATGTCTCTGCACAGTCCTTCTTTGAAAATAAATATGGTATGTTAATGTATTTTTTGTTCTAATTAAATATTTTAGCACTATTAATAAATACCATTTATTAGCTTTTACGGTAGCATTTACTGTGTGCTGGGTTCCTTCTTCCTGAAGGTTTTTTTTTTTTTGGACAGAGTCTCCCTCTGTCACCCAGGCTGCAGTGCAGTGGCGCAATCTCTGCTCACTGCAAGCTCCACCTCCTGGGTTCATGCCATTCTCTTGCCTCAGCCTCCCGAGTAGCTGGGACTACAGGTGCCCACCGCCACAGCCAGCTGATTTGTGTATTTTTAGTAGAGATGGGTTTCACCGTGTTAGCCTGGATGGTCTCGATCCCCTGACCTTGTGATCCGCCTACCTCAGCCTCCCAAAGTGCTGGAATTACAGGCGTGAGCCACTGCGCCCAGCCTTAAACACAGTACATCTTTTATCACTGGTTTTGTTTTGTTTTGTTTTGTTTTTGAGATGGAGTTTCACTCTTGTTGCCCAGGTGGGAGTGCAATGGCTCACTCTCAGCTCACCACAACCTTCACCTCCTGGTTTCAAGCGATTCTCCTGCCTCAGCCTCCCAAGTAGCTGAGATTACAGGCATGCGCCACCATGCCTGGCTAATTTTTCATTTTTAGTAGAGACGGGGTTTCTTCATGTTGTCAAGGCTGATCTCAAACTCCCAACCTCAGGTGATCCACCCACTTCTGCCACCCAAAGTGCTGGAATTACAGGCGTGAGCCAGTGTGGCCGGCCATGTTTTATCACTGTTAATTTGAATTTAGTTTCATTAGCAGCTACATTTGTATGCCAGATAAAAAAGACAATGTAGGCCAGGCGCGGTGGCTCACGTCTGTAATCCCAGAACTTTGGGAGGCTGAGGCAGGCGGATCACAAGGTCAGGAGATCAAGACCATCCTGACTAACAGGGTGAAACACCATCTCTACTAAAAATACAAAAAATTAGCCGGGCGTGATGGCGGACACCTGTGGTCCCAGCTGCTCGGGAGGCCAAGGCAGGAGAATAGTGTGAGCCTGGGAGGCGGAGCTTACAGTGAGCCGAGATCATGCCACTGCACTCCAGCCTGGTGGACAGAGCGAGATTTTGTCTCAAAAAAAAAAAAAAAAGATAATGTAACCAACAAGTGATAGTAAACTAAAGGATTTTGAGATGTAAAGTAGTTAAATTAGCAATGCTTTAGATATTTTCATAAAAGTTGAAACTCATATTGTGATTTCCCTAATATTTGATAGAATTATTTATGTTTCATAGGATTTTTGTTTTTTGTTTTGGAAATTAGAAAATTTACTTTTTGCAATTTCCTTCCAGGTAACTTAGATATATTTAGTACGTTACGTTCCTCTTGCTTGTATCGAAAACAGCATTCAGGAGCTCTTCAAAGCATTTGTTCAGATCTTCAGTACTGGCCAGGTATGAAGCAACAACCATAGCTATTTTGGAAAAATAATATACTTATTTACTGTAGTCTGATTTGTCTTTCTTAATGGTATTAATGATTATAAACATTCATTTGCAATTCACACGGCCTAAAGAGTATTTGGAATTGATTAGTTTGGGTTCTTCTGTATAATTTTTAATCTGGGATATAATTATATATATAGGAGTATAATATATAGGAGCTAAATTTTGAGTGTGATAGCGCCACAATAAATCAAACTCCAGGGAATTTATCTAACTTGTTTCAAGATAAATGACTAAGCACATTTGCTTACTCATCCTCACTTTCAAAAGCCCATTGAAATTAATTTATATATATATATATGAAAAAAGCAATGACAGAAGGGTTTTGTTAATGGACCAGAAATTTGAGGACTTTCAGTAAGTTGTAATATAGGTGACATCAAATTGACAGTAAAATCAAATTTGTATTTATTCGTGTAATTTTTGAATACAAGGCACTAGTGATAGATGTCAGGTGATAGCGATCATTGTAAATGAAAAAGACATGTTTTCTACCTTCATGGGACTAAGGGTCTCGTGAAAGAGGTAAGTACTTCTGCTTCCAAGAGAACTCAGGAAAAACCCCACTTCCAGAGCCAGTAAAATTGGACTCTGGGATGGAATGGAATAAACAGTTGAGGATTGCCAGAAATGGGCCAATCACAGAACAGATATGGCCTTTAACCTTTAGGTAAATTAGCAAAAAACACCTTTCTAATAAGACTTCTGTGTGTGTGTTTGTGTATCGAGGGACGTCTGTCTGTGGAGACTCCTGGTTTGAGCATTGATGCCAAGGAAAGAAACAAGATAGTACCCCAGATTACTTTGGTTTTGAATTATACACTCACTAAAGGTATTCTGCTCATAGTCCAAGTTTTATATTCTGAATATATTTACTTTTGCTAGTGTTGAGGATACCCATTTGTAGTCAATACCAATGACTGTATTTGTTTTGTTTTGTTTTTGAGATGGAGTTTTCCTCTTGTCACCCAGGCTGGAGTGCAATGGCACCTCCTGGGTTCAAGCAGTTCTCCCGCCTCAGCCTCCCGAGGAGGTGGGATTACAGGTTCCCCCACCAGGCCCAGCTAAGTTTTGTATTTTTAGTAGAGATGGGGTTTCACCATGTTGGCCAGGCTGGTCTCGGAACTCCTGAGCTTAGGTGATCCGCCTGCCTTGGCCTCCCAAAGTGTTGGGATTACAGCATGAGCCACGGCACCAGGCCCTGATCACTGTATTCTTATTTATAATTACAAATGGATTACCAAGAATCTATGTATTTGAGGAAAACTTAAAGCATAAAAGAGAGGCACCAAGTTCAGCAAAGAGACCAATAACCCTCTGAAGAAATGATTAATACAGAAGACAGAAGAAGACAGCTGATACGTTTTTAGATACTGTTGGAAGATGTTTAAAAACTGAGCATGTGTTACCTAGGGTATGAAAACTGTCTTAATAAGTTTTCATAGTGTTGTAACTCTGAGGTCAGATTCTCTCAACATCAGAAAATAAAGCTAAAAATCCAGTAACAGAAAAGACAGCTTAAAAAAATACCTAAATACTTGAAAATTTAAAAACCCTTTTCTAAATGTCTCATGACTGAATGGAAATCAAAACTGAGATTACAGACACTCAGTAATTAACCACAGTGAAAATCTGTTTATCAGACTCTTTTGGTGAGGACAAAATGACGTTGAGGGCATTACATAATTTATTAAGAAATCAGGCCAGACACGGTGGCTCACGCCTATAATCCCAGCACTTTGGGAGGCCGAGGCGGGCAGATCACCTGAATTCGGGAGTTCAGGACCAGCCTGGCCAACATGATGAAACCCCGTTCTCTACTAAAAAGGAAATACAAAATTAGCTGGGCGTGGTGGTGCATGCCTGTAATCTCAGCTACTCGGGAGCCTGAGGTAGGAGGATCACTTGAACCCAGGAGGCGGAGGTTGCAGTGAGCCGAGAGCACGCCGTTGCCCTCCAGCCTGGGCAACAAGAGCGAAACTCCGTCTCAAGAAAAAAAGAAAAGAAATCAAGATGGGCTGGACACGGTGGCTCACGCCTATAATTCCAACACTTTGGGAGGCTGAGGCTGAGGCTGAAGCTGAGGCTGAGGTGGGCGGATCACTTGAGGTCAGGAGTTTGAGACCAGCCTGGCCAACATGGCGAAACCCTGTCTCTACCACGATATACAAAAATTAGCTGGGTGTGGTGGCAAATGCCTCTAGTCCTACCTACTCAGGAGGCTGAGGCAGGATAATTTCTTGAACGTGGGAGATGAAAGTTGCAGTGAGCCAAGACTGCACCTCCATCCTGGGTGACAGAGCAAGACTTTGTCTCAAAAAAAAAAAAAATTAAGATATAAAACATGGAAAATAAATTGAATTTCTGAAAAATAATAGAAGAAATTAATACAAAGCAAATATTTTAAAATAATAGGTGGAAATAGTTTTACTTAATTAAACCAAAAAAAATTTAATATAAAAAAATGGAACAACGTAACAATTCTGATTAAGAAACAACAGAAAAATACAAACAGTATTAGAAGTATGAGTGGGAATTGCCATGGATATGTGAAGGTTTTAAAATTGCAAGGTGGTATGTGTAACTTTATGTCATAAAAATACGTTGAAATGGACAGTTATCTAAGCAATAAATTGATAAAGTTGGCCCAAGAAGAGATAGGATAATAACCATAAAGTTTAAAAGATACTATTTAAAAAATATTGTTCCTTTGCCCCAGAGGCACTAGGTTCAGATAGTTTTTATGGCTGCATTCTTCTAGAATATTGAGTTTCTTGTTAATTTAAAACCATATTAAAAAGAAAAAGGTCTAGAATACACTTCCCTATTTATTCCATGAGATTGCTGTTAGTAGAACTTGGTAGTATTGGTGTAAGGCCAGGCACTGTGGATCACACCTGTAATCCCAACACTTTGGGATGATCACTTGAGGCCAGGAGTTCCAGACAAGCCTGGACAAATCTCAACAGCAACAAAAGTTAGCCCATCGTGGTATCATGCCCTTGTAGTTCTGGATACTTGGGAGGCTGAGGTGAGAGGTTTGCTTGAGCCCAAAGTTCAAGGTTACAGTGAGCTATGATCATGCTGCTATACTTCAACTTTAGTGACAGAGCAAGATCCTATCTAAAAAAAAATATATATATATGTATGTATGTATGTATGTATATACACACACAAGCACGACAGAGGAACAAAATAGATGAGTTTCAATTAACAGAAATCCTAAATAAAATCCAAAGAAAGCAATCTAAAAATGTGCTAAAAATGTTATATCATGACTAAGGAATACAAAAGTGATTTAACGTTAAGTCAATTAATATATCATATTAATTGATTAGAAAAGAAAAATAATGTCATTATTTCAATGTATGATACAAAGACATAATATACTTTAATTGCTGTACTTCCTGAAAACTCTTAGAAAGCTAGAAATGGAAGGAAACTTTTAAAATTTCTTAACATCTATTATGTTCCTGTTAATTTGAGAAACATGGAGTATCCTGGTTTTTTTCAGCATTAATTTGGAGATTCTGAACAATATGATTTAAAAGAAAACGAAATGAGCCATATGTAAGTTAAAGGAAGGGGTAAAATTATAATTTGCAGGTGATACAATTGTTTACCAGAAAATTCAAGAAAATCATCCAAAAGGCTATTCAAGTAGAGTTCACTCCTTTGTCCATACCAGATAAATGCATAAAAAGCAATAGCTTTCTTATAATCTAGCAGCAGGTTTTATTTACAGTTTCTTTAAAACCCAGTAAATGTTTTATCCTGACAAGAAATATACAGCATACATATATACACACGTACACACGTGTGTATATGAAGCTTTACTGAAGGAAAAAGAGGAACTGAGTGAAATAAAATGAGAGAAGGCCATAATCCTATTTGGAAGAACTAGGTATTATAACAGTATCAATTTACACCCAAATTTATAAAGTCAGTACAACCCCAATCAAAACTCTCATGACCCATTTGGGAAATTGAGAAGTTGATTTTAAACTTAATTTGGAGTAACTGAGAACATGTTAAAAGAATACTAATGAAGGGGATTTCACCCTACTTAAGTATATGAAAATATAGATATTTAGCCGTGGAAATCAGCAGTGTAGTATTATAAATAACTAAAATTCAAAAATTTAACCTAGTGCTGGCATACATCAGTGCAACAAAATTAAGAATTTTAAATCAATAAGCAAATGATGGATAATGAAATGTTATCAGCCTAAGTGACTGTTTTGGAAAAATCAAGTTCTTTTCTTACATCGTACCAAAAAAAACTTCCAAATATGTTAAAGGGCTGAAAACAAAAATATAAAACTGAAAATATTACAGGTAAGTAGACTTCCTTTCAAATCTTAGTTTGGCGATGAAACTCTAATCAAGTTAAAATGCAGAAAACACAACAAAGGTATGGCTACACTGACCTAATAAATTTCTGTATCATGTGATTGAAAGACAAAGACACGTTAAAATAAATATTTACAATATATATAAAGATTACTATCTGTAACATCCATGTTCTCTAAATAAAAATGGAAAAATGTGCAAAGGACATGCATGGTCAATTTACCAATGAAATAAAAATAAAAATAGTCAATAAAAATACAGAGGAATCTTTTCAAAATTTTCCCACATTTGTAATCTGGGAAATGCAAAGTAAAACAAGGTACTGGTATTTTTGCCCATCAGACTTGTACAAATTTAAAAGATTCATATTGTTTAGTATTGGCAAGGATATGAAGAAAAGGAATCTTATAAGCATTGGTGGGCACATAAATTGATAACAATCTTTTTTAGAAAGTAGTCTCAGCCAGGCGCAGTGGCTCACACCTGTAATCCCAGCACTTTGGGAGGCCAAGGTAGGCGGATCACGAGGTCAGGAGTTTGAGATCAGCCTGGTCAACATGGTGAAACCCCACCTCTACTAAAAATACGAAAATTAG